AGAGCATCTGCCTGGGGGGCCTGAGGAGAGAATGCAGCTCTGTCATAGCTACCGCAAGGTGTTCGGACTCAAGAGGCGATGCCTGTTCATGGAGGAGGCTGGAGGAGCTGCGTAACATCCTTTTCACATCACGTTATTTGCTGGATCCTTATGCTGTTAGCCAGGATCCCTGCACAAACCCAAATGGCATTTTGGAGCCAGCCTGCCATCCCACCAGCATGGTCCAGCACCGCCTGGGCAGGGCAGGCCCCCGGCTGCAGCAGGATGCTGCTCGGAGGTGCTGGTCCAGCCTGGGCTCAGCCCATGGTTGCCATCTGCTGTTGGGAGCATTGGGAGGAGACTGGGAGCTCGTCCAGCACTGCTCAGCCCAAACAAGCACAAGCACTTGCTTAAAAACAAACAACTCTACATGCACAGTCAGGGTGCGTCCAATGCACCTCCCTGCTCCCCAGCCTTGGCGCAGGGTCACATCTCCATCACCTGGAGGGCAGGCACAGCCCTTTTGTTTCAAACAAAAGCAGATTATCTCCTGCAGCCTCCGTTTCCCACAGCGGCAGGAACACCACAGAGAAGGGCAGGATTCAAGGTGCAGTTGTGAGAACCATCAGTGGAGAGACTTAATCCTCCAGCTCAGGTCTGCCAGCATGCTGGAACTAGTGAATGCCACCATCGAGGCTGAAGAGGTAGTGGGAAAGCCTGGAGGATTTCCCCTGCTCCAGGAGGGGATCTCAGCCCACTTGAAGGGATTTCCCACGAGCTGAGAGGAGCCAGGGAAGGGCTGCTGGTTCGCAGAGGCTGGGTGGCTGGCAAGAAGGTGGCTGTTGCTGGTATCCCACAGTATCTCCTTCCAGTCTTTGATGAGCCTAGAAGTGACTTTAATAACCTGGTGCTGCCTAACAGCTCACTGCTGATCGCTCACCCATCAGAGCCCTTGGTCCAGAGGAGATCCATGGATGAGTCCCCAGAGAAGTCCAGCAATAGCAGGGGAGCCCAGGAGGGCTGGGGGTCAGGAATGGCACTGACTGAGCCATTTTTGGGGTGCAATGGAAGTGCTGTGGATGGGTTGCACGCTTCCCTACCTCCAAGTCCCTGCCATTAGGTCGCTTTTGCTTAGGGTCATTCACGCTGCATACGTGGGCATTGGGCTGGATGCTCACGTAGCCTGTTCAGGGCGAGAGGCTGTAACGTACTCAGTGTTTTGAATTATGGGTTGATTTTCCCTGACCTCTGCAGCAGTCTCGTTAAATCTCTTATTGTATGCTTAATTAGCAAAGCTCTTCCAGCCCCATCTTGGGCTGCCCTGTCACCCAGCAGAACAGCTCAAAAGCATGCTTAAAAGTTTGAAACCTTTTCTTGAAATAATTAAAGATTAGTTCAAAAACACAGCCAGGTTCCTTCAGCAGGGGTCAGGCACTGGCAGAGCCCAGAGGTCCCTTAGCCACATCGGGGACCAGGCTGAACTCCAGCCACCAAAACCCAAATCAGAGGGTCTGGATGGAGGGGGTGGGCTCCCACAAGCAGAGCCCAGCACAGGGAGAGGTCAGACCTACCCTCTAATCCTAGTTTTTGGCACTGACCATGTAATTATGAGTATGACTCTCTTCATCTTCCCGCTGCCTGGTTACCTCTCTGTGTTTGCTAAGCCATTTATGATCTGCTGGTAAAAAGCAAACAACATTACTACTAGGGAAAGTGCTTCAATTCTTCAGGTACAGAGGTCTCCGAGTGGGTGTTATCTGGAAGCATGGTGCAGCGGAGGCGTGCTGGAAGCGTCTGAAGTCTCGGCAGCTGCCTTTCCCGGCAGATTTTGGGGAGAAGCCAGCAGACAGAGGGGGAGGTGGCTGCTGAGCACGCTGGGGGTCACGGCCAGAGTTCATGGCTGCTCAGGAAGCCTCCCCAGCCCCTGAAATCAGGATAGACATGGAAACAAACTCCTGGGAGAGCTGCTCAGGGTGGGAACTACACCTGGAAAAGTCCAAACAACAGCTGGGCTTCGAGCTCTTGTAAAAACTTAGCTCTGCATAGCACCAGCATGGGGAAAAGCACCCCCCACCAGGAGCACCCAGCACCGCAGAGCGACCTGGGGACACAGCGACTCTGGGGATGTGCCAGGGATCCTGTCTGGTGACAAAAGCTTGGGTTTCACTACAAAGGCAGCTGACCCAGACCTGCTTCTCTCTGTGCTGCGACTCGGAGGGCTCCTCTTTCTCACCCTCTTCTAAATGCTCGGCATATCCCTAGCTTTGATTACTGACCATATCCCCCCAGCCTCGTCCCTGGTCCCTGCCATCTCTTCATTAAGTCCTAGAAGGGGTTTATTCCCATGACGCTGTTTGTCTGTCACTCTCTTCAGCCTTTCTGGAGGGAGAAAGCAAAGGATCAGCCCCCAGCTGTGCTGCAGCCAGACAAAGGGAACGGATTCCTCCTCCCCTCGCTCCAGCTTAACAAAGCCAGCGCAGCAGCACCAAACCCTGAGCCTCGACCAGCGTGGCCTCACTGCAAAGAACAGGGCTCAGGGCTAATGAGAAAGCGAGAGCAGAGGAGCATCAGGCTGTGCTGCCTGTGGGAAAGGTTCCTTAAGGACAAAGGAAACCACTTCATTAATAGCTAGAGACTCTCGGCTGCGATGGAGAGCTGCTGTGCCGGGAGACACGGGGCTTGTTCTAGAAGAGTAGAAGGCTCCCTCTCTCCCTCCAAGCCTCCTCCATCCTCCTCCAATTTTTCCAGTTCAAAGGGATGTTTTATCAGCCTTCTGGGGTAATGCCAGGGCAGTACACACAGAGAGGTGCTCTTAGCACCTTCCCTCAGCTCTGCTAGACCCAGCAGAACTTTAATCATCCAGGGATGCCGTTAGACAGAAATGCCTGGCCCCAGTGCCCTGCTCACCGTTCCCTGCAGCTTCACCCCCCCCAGCAGATCTCACCCTGGAGCCCTCCCCGACTGCACCACGTCAAGATCATCCCAGCTGGGCTCCGTGCTCCTCACCAGGGGCCTGGAGCTCAACCCAGCGTTGCAGCTCCTCCAGCCCGGCCAGAGCAGCGCGCCTGCGTCAGGGGCAGAGCTCCTTTCTGCAGATAGATATCTTCATTTATACAGCCCCCCAAAACACGGTGCCTAAGCGTCAGGACCACAGATGGGAAGAGGACAGGGGCCGGGGACAGACGCGGTTGTGCCCGTGTACGCAGCCAGCGAGGAGCGGGTGGGATGTCAGGAATTAGCCAGCAGGTTGCCAGCTACAGAGCCGGTGCCTTCCCCCTTTCATCCGAGCTGCGGGGCACCCCGACATCGGAGGGAGGGGACTCGGGGCTGCCA